GAGTTTACTAAAAGTCTTAAGAGTATTTGATGTTTTTAGTTTGCTATCAATATTGTTCCATACATGCGGACCATGGACACAAATTGAGAATTGGCTTTAAGTCAGCCTAACAAACGGAATACGAAGCCTGTTACACTGTCTTGTCCGATAGTTATGAACATTACCTTTGTACTGAAATAGATCCTTAAATACATTTGGTAAAATTTCATGGGTGTGTTTATACATAAAACATCCTACTTGTACCTTATTAATGTCATAAATATTCAAAAGATTTTGTTGATGAAATAGTGGTTCAGGATTGCACCTATATGGTGATGATGTAATAATACGAATAATTCGTTTTTGGAGGTTATATATTTTAACAAGGTTTGAGGGATAATCATTTTCCCATATAATATTACCATACTGGAGGTAAGGCAAAATTAAGGTATTGTAAGGTATTAAAATTTTCCTGCAGATATTGTTTGATTGAAAGTTCATAGTCACAAAAACTTTCCTACAAAAACATTTTAATATGATTTTCAGAGCATGAATTGTTATAATTAATATTGTACTTCCATGTTTTTTGGTTGTTTTTTTTGCAGTCTACTTGTTGTATGGTCAGCTATTTTCAGAAACTTAGTACAATTTAAATACCTTAGTTCCTTGTTATGCAAGTCCAATTTTAGGTTAAAGCTATGTTCACATCAAGATCCGGTCCAGAGCCCGGAAAAAAATTGTGAGTTGCTAGATTTTTTGAATGCTGCGTTCGCATCGCGCACGGAACACGGTTATTCGGATTAAATGCGTATATGTGTTCTATAGGTTCGAACCAACCAATCTTGTTACTGATTGGTCTAAGGAAAAAAACTGTACGATTTCATGATACAAATGGCTCTCAGATCCATCGGTCCGGATCCGGAGTCCGGATTGGAAATTGTACGAATTTTGATGTGAGCGGTACTATTCTTTACTAATGAACCCATTTTTCACTACTTTTTGTCCGGCCACTGGACCGGATCCAGGCTTTGATGTGAACGTAGCTTTAAGCCTACCTCCAACTTTATGCTCAAGGTGTGATTTGAATAATGAGCACAGCCACCGATCTCTACTAAAATAGGTGCATTGTTCATCAGCCAATCATTGTACAGAAAAAAGTAAAAGCACCAATGCCATTTCGGGGAGCCCAAGTGAAGCACCAGCATTTGTTTAAAATTATTGTTAAAAATAACGATTCTTGCAATACTACTATATCCAGTAAAAAAAAGTAAAAAACAAGAGAAACAAATTATTAAATTGAATATCGTATTTTTCTTGTTCTGCAGATCGGCAATATTGATATGTAAATCACAAGCTGAAGCTGATGCGATTCTGAAGTTGGACGGAGTAACGATAACGTCCGTAACGGGCGAAGAGTCTGAGATCAAGATCTCACAAAAGGAATCATCCGACCCAATTCAAAGTAAGAGAAAAATTATTATTGTATCTTTATTATCAATCATTAATTATTATTTTACCAGATTTTTGGATTTCGCATTATAAACATCTGTTATCAAAGATTTTATCCGAAGAAATCTTTGATGCTAGGCCGCTATAAATATAAAGACAGGCACTCACTTAGCCCAACAGTTACACCCGACGCGATTCTTTGGAGAACGAAACATATGCACAACGGATCGTTTTTAATGACGATCCATTCAGACTGCCACCGACAATCAGCAGACAGCTTCACGTCATCTAGCGCCACGGAGAGAAGAGTTGGATTCGTCATGACATAGTGAGTGTCACATTTTTGAATGCAGATGGCCGCACAAAAATACAAAACAGATTGTGATACATGTTGTCTGTAGACACTGACATGATCCCAAAATTGTAATTTTTTCAATTTTTTACAGGTGCGACTAAGTTATATATTGGTGGACTGCATCCTAAAATACCAGAGGAGGAACTGAAAGGGGCTTTGGAGGGTGAAGGCATAAGTCTAATAAAGGTGAAGAGGGTGTGCTGGAAGGGAACAAGGAGGCATAAAGGGTAAGGAAGATGTAATTTTTTTTTTTTTTTTTTTTTAGAATCTGAATTTAAATAGCGCCTTTCACAATGCAAAGAGTATACAAGGCACTGGCATCATTATTTCTCTTGTCACTGGATACTGAGTTGGCAAACCGGCACATTTTGTGCAACAGTCTCTGCTCCATGTTCTACAGGCACAACCCATATGTTCAATGCCATACCATCCTACCAGGTACCCAATTTATACTCCTGGGTGGAGGGAGGCAAACGTAAGCAGAGGACACAAGCATTGCGACAAGCGCCGTTCTCCCGCTGCCCCACACCCTTCTACAAAAATATTGGGATTTGTTATTTTTATATGCACATAATATAACACTTGACCAATAGTGCATCACACACAGCGCTTGAAGCATTTTTTAAGCTTTAGAACAGCGCTTATCAAAAAAATGTGTTTATTTGCAAGTGGCGCTAAATAAAGATTATTAAGGTGTTAAAATGGTACAATTTGTTCTCCTATCTAAAGTTGTAGCAACGTAGTGTTATTTAATCTGTGAGAAATCAAGGCATGTTTAATATAGTATTTCATTTGATGCGCTGATTATTCTAGAGTGCCTTTGATTCAGGGGGACAGTGGTCCCGAGCTGTCAATATTCAATTGAGAACGTAGAACACTCATCCGTGGCTGGCGTCGCATGCGTTATATGTTCTACTATAAATCAATTCCAGTTTTTGATAACGCGTATGCAGAGATGTCCTTGTTCTGACCTGAAAATCGATTCGGTTGACAACTGTTCCAGATTTCGGGAGAAAACATAAAGCACAATGTTCAGACATGCACGGTTAAATTCATGTGACATCATTACGTTTTATGTTGCAAATCAAAAGCTGCTTAAAGCTTGGTTTGCATACAATCATACACGCTTTCGCTGACAGCGTTCGGTGATGCAGATTGGTCGGACGAATCGGGGAGCGTTCCTGATTGATATACAGTGCAAGGATTGCAGTAAAAACACTGTAGCGACAGTGTAGCAATTGTATGGAAACCAAGCTTTATAGATTACATTTCTGTTGCTTCTCCTAAATTATGGTAGATTGCTAGTCCTCATTTTCACTTTTTCTTTGTTTATTCTTGCTATTTTCTGCTTTATCTTTGGTAATATTTTATACGTTGAGCTTAGAGAGAGTGCATTTATTTAATTTTCTTTGAATAGGTATGGGTTCATTTGGTTACCGACTCCGGAGGATGTGAAGAAAGCACTAGCTGCCAAAATTACGCTGGAAGGCAAACAACTTGTTATTACGCATTGTAAATAATGAATTGTAATTATGCAACCAAACATGACCAAAGGTTAGCATACAACTTAAAATACAATTAGTGGAATTTGGTCAATTTTAAAAATACACATTACTTATGACATAACTTAATCATGAAGAATTCATTGATAAAGATACAAAACTTTATCAATGACATTATAAAATATACTCATAGTAACTTATATATATTACTTGTTGTATGGTTTATAAATTGTTACATTAATAATACTTAAAAATAGTAATTAATGATAGGGTTGTATTAAAATGCAATGTAAGATCAGAAAATTATGTATACATTTCTCATTTTGGTGCTAATTTATGGTACATATCTTGACTATCACCAATATCTAATGAACTGCAATGTTTATGCAGATTAAATGTGAGCTATCATGACAAAATAAATATTGTGGCACAAAAAAATAAAAAAATGAGTTATTGATATATTTAAATGATTATGTAAGCTTTATTTTGGTCTTTGAATCAGATTCCTAGGTCAAAACAAATTGGAGGAAGATCATTTTAAAGTTCAGGTGTCTAACAAAAAAAAAATAATAATTTTGTGTTGGTTTTCTAATCAATTCTGAAAAATAGCTTTACAAACTGTGTCTCAAAACACCTTTACTTTAGGTAACTAACTCAGGCTTTTGCTACTATGAAACATACATATTAAACTTATCAGAAATATTGAAACCCAATTTTTGTCAAAATATTGAAACCCAATTTTTGTCAAAATATCTCTTAAGATATATTTTCTTGAATATATCAAATTGACTTGTCATACAAGACGACTCATTTTTGCCATGACACATCACCATATTTTCTCTCTGCTTAGATTTTGCATGTGGGTTGCCAAATTTGACAACCAAGGATCTACAACATGGTTACACTCTATTCCAAGAGTGCCCATTTTTTCACTATTAACAGGTAATAATTAAATGCAAGCCAATAAAAATATAACATTTTATAATATCATGCCAATATTTGTTGTTGAGCCAATTGGAAGTTGCTATGCTATTTCTGTTTTACAAGCAATTATGCACTTTGTGACCACAAATCGATTATAATCTAATTTGCATAATCTTTGGAGATCAGTTTGATTGTTTAATAAACTATTTTCAGATGACATTTTTTCTCAATTTATTTTTAAGTGTAGTATATCACAAAATGTGAACAAGGGTGAATACAAAAAACAAATAATTTTAGATAATTAAAACAATTATAATGTTAGTAAAATGTATGTATTTATTTCAGTATAAAATACAAATAATTGAAATAGAATATATTTATTCAACTTATGGAATACAAATATTCACAATTTATATACAATCTTATAGAACTATTTATTTTGTTCAATTAAAGTTAAAATATTTGGTATCTTTAAAAGTACCTATCGTGAATAATATACATGTCTAGCAAATGACCTTGAGATTAAGGTTGATACCTCGACACAGGCGGCACTTAACCCCTTCTTTCCATGAACTTAATAGCTTTCAAATTAAGATAAATGTTTGTGATGTTGTACCTGTTAAAGGACAAGCTTAATGATTAATCCTATGCAGGTTTTATATGATTTTGACCATGCATATTCCAGGCCATTTCTAGGCATGAAACTTTTGACTTTTTTGACACATACAGTACGAAGGGATTTGTATATTTGTTTTTAATTGGGCAAGAGAAGAATTTTTAAATTCTTAGGTCAGGTGCTGACTTCTTTTTGATTAAAATTAGGGAGGACATTTATTGGAATGTATATTCTTGGCAATCACAAACATTGATGTAACTGTAGATGGAAGAAGCCAAGCATGGAGCATGCCTTGCAAAATACTGGTCATGTACTGTGCAGATAATGCATGGTGCTGGTTATAGTTCAGGCCATGTAAGTACAGACATGGTGCTGCCATGCATGGTGCTGATGATGATGATGATTACTGTGTAATCAGCATCCTCCTTATGTACATAGATACCAACCTGAGAGATTTGAAATGCATAACTACACCAGTTGGGTGGGGGTGGAAGTGGGGGGGCCACCAGGGCTCCCGGGGTCAGTGGCACAACCCTGGAGGCCTGGGCTCCAGTCACATAATCAACGGTTGGTTGTGATAATGAAATGCACAAGACCGCACGCAACTACTAGATTCTACTAAGTGCATTGCTGGCTGGGTTGTTTTGGTGGGGGAAGAGAAATTTTCTCGGTAAATTGAACGAGATAACGTAAGCTTTAATGACACAAGCTACTGCATGACCGCTTATATATTTTAATTACACCAATTTCTTTTAATTTTAAATACATTTTCCTATGAATTCGTGATAATTTATCACGCATAGACTTATGCTAAATTTAAAACAAATTTCTGATCACGCATGTGTTTCTGCAAAATGCGCATTTCATCCAAAATTCCTTTGAAATTCGGGACCGTCCTGCACGATGTGAGACGGTTGGTAACTATGCTTATGTATGATGCAATTCATGCTAGTCACTATGGCTCAGGCCCTGCATAGTGCAGATTTTGCATGGTGCTGGTTATACATGGTGCAGTCCATGCTAGATTTACACAGTATAGGCCATGCATGGTTCTGGTCTTACATGGTGCAGTCCATGCTAGTTTTCCACAGTACAGGCCATGCATGGTGCTGGTCATAGTGTACGTGGTACTGGTTTTACATTACATGGTGCAGGCCATGCATGGTGCTGGTCATGATGTACATGGTGCTGGTCTTCACATGGTGCAGGCCATACTGTACATGATACAGGCCATGCATGGTCCTGGTCATACAGTACATGGTTCAGGCCTAGCTTGGTGCTGGTTATGCACAATGCAAGCAATGAATTAACGCAATCATGAATCATGTACTCTACGAACATGTGCATCACTGACTGTGCCAATGCTAAAATCCACTTGATGTGAGTCACAGCCCGCCACATTTCTTGGGTGGCTTACGATTAAAGAATTCATCCTATTAATGTTAGCTTCCTATACTGCTACTGGCTATTATGCTGTAAGGAACTTCGTTTAGATTTACCTTAGATGTATAAACCATCGATGACGGATAAAAAAAAAAAGAGTTGTATACCCTTTTAACTAGGAAGGAAAGGGTTTTGGTTGTCATGACGATGTCTTTGCTGTTCACTGCAACGACTCATCCCATGTGACACATATGAATATAAAGACTACCATATACGGTGTGTTCAAAGCGAAAGCTAACTCACTTTTTATAAAAATGCTGCCATCTCTGGAAAAATGATTGACATGCACATGTGACTATCAATCAATCAAATTTTCAATTGAAAATTTCAGAATAAATTCTCAAGGACTAAAATAATGAGCGAGTGAAATAGGTATTTTAGCCCATCCCTTAAAAATTAGAATGGGTTGCGTTTGCTGTGTTGCAGGCTTATATTTGGGACCAAAAAATGCAAACGATATAATCATGTAGGCCTAGATTTCTCTAGCCTCGGCCTTGCAATTACAGACTTGGAAGGCTAAATTCCAATGCATTATATTCATACTGGTTAATTACATTTTAAGAATTGTTATATAAATCAAATAATATAGGATTTTGGTTTCAAAATCCTGTTGTTAAGGCATGGACTTACATCTGGGTGGAGCATTTTGCAGGAACATTACTCAAATATTAAAGTTAGGAAGTACTGTACCTGCCTATTTGGAATATATTTTATAATGATGAAATATTAATTCATGTAATAAAATGCATAAATGAAAGTAAAAACTTGCAGATATTCCTTTAAATTTTTCACGAAATATTGAGCCTTGTTCGTTGGGTTAAAATATATTGGTCTACGCATTTTAAATGCAAAGGTTACAGTACAGTAATCTTCTTTGGCAGGAAGCCACATTAGGCATGCCACAAGCATATACACCAGGAAACTCTAAAGTTGATCTTGAATTATAATTAGATTGACTGTAGTTTCCACCTAACTGCCACGGTACCACAGCCTGCTGTCGATCTTTCATTTTGCCTGATCTGCAGAACCTTATCTCAAGGCTTTTGTTTCCAGGGACCTGCTGACTATCCTCGTAGGAAAACATTGAGTACCAATTCGTGGATTAACTATTGAGGGGTAGGCGTCACCAAAGGCTTTTTCAGGAAATACATACTTCTAAATTTTCAATGAGATTTTAATTGCTGTTTTCCAGAACCGACTAATTATTTCAGTTTGTTTTATTTAACGGCAATATAAAATGTAGAGTGGTAGCCTGGGTAAGATGCTTTCCTTCTCAACCCAGGGTCATTGTTTCGAGTCATGATGGGGGTCTGTTTCAGAATTATAGAAGCATGGATGTGGCAAGGGGACAAGTTATAGGCCCCTGTACAACTCATGATCTATTCTAAAGGCAATTCCATCCTGTAATGTGAAAGGTTACTGAACTTGCTGATATTTTTTTTTTAATGTAAAGTATACTCTGGTCAACTTGGTATAGTTTTGTTGAAAGAAAAAGTTAATTTTCATCACTCGCCAATTATAGAACGGACATTCTGTGACTCACTACAAAGCATTAAGAGTAAAGTTGGCAAGATTACTTTTGATAATTTAAAGGTTTATGCAGTAACAAATTAAAAGCAAACAAACCATGATTTAGGTAGTAAATAGGTGCAGTAGTTACCAGCAAGAGGTCAACAGTATACATAAGTTAACAGATTCTTTAAAAAAAATTAAAAGTAAAGTTTGCAGGATTTCTTTTGATAATGGTTTACACTGCAACAAATTAAAAACAATCAAACCATGATTTAAGAGGTAAAAAGGTGCTTAATTCAATAGTTACAAGCAAGAAGTCAACAGTTTATACATTAAGGTTAAAAGAATCTTAAAAAATATTAAGAGTAAAGTTTGCAAAATTCTTTTGATAATTAAAAATTTAAGTTGCAACAAATTTAAACCAAACTATGATTTAAGTAGTAAAAAGATGCTTAAGTCAATAGTTAAAAGAAATAGGTCAACAGTTTATGCATTAAGGTTGAAAGGTGCTTAAAAATATTGTCTCTGGTACAATCTGGGAATTTAGTTTATATGCTGCCACACAAATATCAAGAAAACCTCAAATATTAAAATAGAATAATTGATCACTTAACAGAACCACAAAAGTTTTCAACAATTTTAAATGGTCCCAAATCAGGCAAAAAAATTGTTTTTAATTTAGATATTAAAATGACAAAAAAAATCCATCAAATTTGCTGCCTGAAATTCAAGGTTTTATGCCTCAAGACTAGATATGTTAATACTGTTGATCACACATTCTAAAATTGCAACAGAATTTTATATCTTGAATTTTATAACCCGAAATCAAAGGTTTATGCCAAGACTGTAGAAATGTTATTACTGTGATTACACATTTCTTAACTTGCAAGAGAATTTTATACCTCATTCTATTTTTCTCAACTGCAAGCTAAAAAGTATATTTTTACTTTTGAATGTTATATTAGGTGGCAGTGTATCAAAATAATTGAGTGTTTGCTGATTTACATAATTTTTACTACAAAAATAATTCATAAGCGGATTCAAGGGGTGGGGGAAGTATCTTATTTAACAAATAGTTTTGCCAAAAACATCTAGATGGAGGAGAAAATAAAAATGAAATTTTATTTGTGAATTTAAACACTGTAGTATGGGATGGTTAAATGCTTTAAATTTATATACTGTATTAGGAATAGAAATAGGCAATTCTTATTTTTTGAGATTTCAAGGTGAAACATTATAGTGAACATAATAAAATTGAAGAAAAACTTTTTTTTAAAATTTCCATTTCTTTCGTGGTGGTGGGTGCGCTAATTAGCCAAAATTAAAATTTTATTTTTATTCAAAATCATCATTTTTGGGGGTTGGTGGATTTGCTAAGGCAAGACTTATTTTTCCTTGTTTCGCATACTTATTTTTTAACAGATCATCGGAGGAGGCCAGTACCATCCAGCAAAATAGGCTACCTTGGCCCCCTAGCCATGCCAAGGCTTTTCCACCCTTAATTGCTTATTTGCAAACTGCAACCCCTAATTTCGTAAAACTTGCGTAGGTCGGGAGTGGCCAACACATTAATTTTTGTTTTTTTTTGGTGTCATGTATGGGTGTAGGGCTTCATCAGCAAGTGAGTCGAAAGCATAAGACCTGTCCA